GCCCTTCTGTTGAATCCTCTTACTTCTGCCACTAAACGGCTTCTTTGTTTCTCACCTTTAAATAATTGCACAATTTGGACTTGCTTAGGATCTACAAAGAAAAATGGACAAAGAACACTTCAATTGCTGCTGAAACAATATTACACTTTATTAAATTGCATAATCGTGACAAACGAGTAGACATTTCACCTGATGGTAAGTGGGTGTTGTGACCCATATAGACATCTAAAACCATCCTCGATTAAGAATCGAAATGTATACACATTGTCGCCCTTAAGGACTACGATGAAATGGCTTGTTTTAAATTAAAACAGTCTTACTACAAAAAAGCATTTAAACACTGGTCCAACATGTGTTTAGTTAGACATGGACTTAAATAATAAACACATGTTAAACAATGATTTAAATTTCGCTACCACTAAATTGTGTTTAGTGACTAAACCGTGTTTAACGCGTGCCTCTATAGACAACGTTTAACTTTATTCGCCAGGTCACACTGGAATACATTCGTTCAGCCTTCGATCATTCGTTTTGTTTTACGCAAGTTAATACGACTAACTACGTAAAAATTCAAATTTGTTTTGTCTCAAAGTTCGATAATATATATATATATATATATATATATATATATATATATGTATAAAATCGCAAAGAATAGGCAAACGTACAGGTTGATGTGTGAAGCTGACGCCACACGTAAGCATAGTTTAATTTTGTATGAATCGAACTTACTTGATGACGAGCCCAGTACCGTAACGCACAAACCACCTGCACTGCTGGATCTATTGTGTTACCACGAGAATCACTCGGGATGTCGTCATTCACAAGATCTAATATTTTTCTAGCAAAAAAGTTTGCTAAACCCACATTTTTTCTTAAACTTGCGTCGTCGTATTTTTCAAACGGATTAACCCTCACACGAACCGTATCACTTTCTCGGAACATTTCCACATAGATATCCATGTCGTCTTCATCGAAGTAATCAACAAAATCAATTACATCTATGTTAAATAAAAATACTGAGCTGACGGAAAGATAGGTTAGACACTAGTTAAACAAGGGTTTGCGGCTGTTTAAATTTAAACAACGTCTAAGCCAGCCTGTTTAAATTTAAACAGTGTCCATCCATAAACCACTGTTAAACACTCTTTTGTAGTAACCAATTTACTAAACTCGTGTTGAACAGATTATCATCATCATTACAGCCCTTCACAAGTCCACTGCTGAACATAGGCCTCCCCCAAATAATGCCACAAAACACGGTCCTGAGCCACCTGCATCCATCGACTTCCTGCATATCTTACCAGGTCGTTACCCCATCTAGTGGGGGGTCGCCCTACACTACGCCTACCGGTACGAGGCTGCCACTCGAGAACCTTTCTTCCCCATCGGTTATTGGTTCTTCGAGCTATATGGCCGGCCCATTGCCACTTCAGCTTACTAATCCGTTGGGCTATGTCGGTCACTCTGGTTTTACTGCGGATATCCTCATTTCTGAGTCTATCACGCAGAGAAACTCCGAGCATAGCCCTCTCCAAAGCTCGCTGAGCGACCTTGAGCGTCCTCATACGGCCAGCAGTGAAGGACCACGTCTCAGATCCGTAAGTCATCACTGGCAACACGCACTGGTTGTACAATCTAGTTTTTAGAGATTGAGGTATACCTGACGAGAAGATATGTCGTAATTTCCCGAACGCTGCCCAGCCGAGTTGAATCCGTCGATTGACATCTCGGTCGAAGTTGGACTTACCTATTCGGACTATTTGTCCCAGGCATAGGTGTGACATGGACATTAAACATAATCTTTGTTTTGTCCGTGTTCATCTTAAGACCTATCCGTTGGGAGGCATTATTGAGGTCATTGAGCATAGTGCTTAAGTCCACCAGCGATTCTGCCATAAGGACTATATCGGCGGCAAATCGAAGGTGAGTGATGTACTCGCCATTGATGTTAATACCGTATCCTTTCCAGTCCAGTAGCTTGAAAACGTCTTCCAATGCAGCGGTGAAGAATTTCGGGGATATAACGTCACCCTGTCTTACACCTCTCTGCAGTTGGATAGGTTTCGAGCTCTGGTTCTGTACTCGGATAGCCATCGTAGCTCTACTGTATAAACACATCAGCACCTTGATATACCGACAGTCAACTTGGCACCGCTGAAGGGACTGTAGCACCGCCCAAATTTCGACGGAATCAAAGGCTTTCTCATAGTCCACATACGCCAGGCAAAGTGGCGGATTGTACTCTTCAGTCTTCTGTACAATCTGACGCAGGGTATGTATGTGGTCTATGGTACTGAAGCCTTTTCGGAAACCGGCTTGTTCGGGAGGCTGGAAGTCGTCGAGTCTGCGTGCGAGACGATTCGTAATGACTCTCGAAAACAGCACGTAGACGCGGCTCAGAAGGGAAATCGGTCTGTAGTTTTTCAAGAGAGCGTTGTCGCCTTTCTTAAAGAACAAGACCACCGCACTTCTGCTCCACGCCTCTGGAGTAGTGCCACCATGAAGGACGGAATTGAAGAGCTTCTGAAGGACTTCAAGTACCGGTGTTCCACCCGCTTTCAGAAGCTCCGCTGTAATTCCATCCTCGCCTGGGGCCCTGCCGTTTTTAAGGTGCTGGAGAGCCATTCTAATCTCGCTTAGACTGACGTTCGGGATATCATCGGAATAGTGTCGGATAAGACTTGCTCTTGGATCGTTACTCACACTTGCGTGTGGCTCCAACGATGATGTGTACAGCTGCCCAAAGAACCTCTCAATCTCACTCAAAATCTCTGGTGTCCCGGAAACGATGCTGCCACACTCAGTCTTCAGCTTTGACAGTTGGCTCTTACTGGCAGACAGATCTCTGGCAAAGACTTTGGAGCCCTGGTTCCGCTCGATCGCTTCTTTAATACGAGCATTATTAAAGTTGCGTAAGTCTCGCCGCATGCATTTGGAGATCTGTCTGTTCAGTTGCCTGTATGCTGTTAAATCTGTTGACGATTGCAGCCTCATCTCCCGTCTAACAGCCATGAGATTAAGAGTGTGATCGGAGAGTTTTTGTGTTCTTCTGCGGCGGGTCATGCAGAACTTAGCTCCAACCGCATGGACAGTTTCCAAGAGCTTGTCATTCATGTCGTCCACTGCATTGCAGTCTTGTAGGCACTGAAAGCGGTTAGGTAACTCGAGCTGAAAGTTTTCGGGATTCTGGATTAGAGCACGAGGGGGACGGTGCGTTGACTTCATTAGACGAGACCTCTCCAACTTAACGTTTAGGTTCAGTGTGCCTCTAACTATTCGGTGATCGCTGCCAGTTTTCACCCTTGCGATCACTGAGACGTGAGAGTGATAGAACAAGTTGCCGGATTCGAGAATCACCGTGTCCTCCCCCTCTCTTCGGACCTCGGATAATCCTATAATATTCCAGCGCAAATTGTCTATCTCTTCTTTCATCTCCAGGATCTTCTCGTCAGTCCTCAGGGTGTGTGCGTTAAATGTTGCCAGGTCGAGTCGTCGTAGGTGGTAACCGAACCTCCACCGGAGATTCTTAGCACCCCCTGCCCCTCCGTTACCATGGTCGCCACCGTAGCCAGGAATAGCGGGGTTGCCGGGGACTGGGGGCCGTCTATTTGTGTAATTGTTCATGGGGGGTATATTGCCATAGTTGCCACGCTTGGCAAGCGGGTTGGCAACCGCAGGTTTTTTTTGTCGTACAGTTGCTGTTATCAGGAAGATGCTGCTACCCATCTCCTGCCTGTCTCCCTCTGTCGCCTCTTACGACACCTACGGGAAGATATGGGGTATTGGATATTCTTAACCGCCACTACACGGCATGGTTGAACAGATGTCTAACTTTTGTGTAGAAAGACAGAAAGGGTCTCCGGTTCGCCACACTCACCATACGAAAAACATTTTATACGTGGTGGAACCACGCTACAGCTATATTAGTTGTAGCACGAATAGGTCGGCTAGACCGAGGTAGCACCACGCTCTCTCTCTCTCACACATAATACTAACGTAACACATGTGGTGTTAAACCAGCATTAAAGCAGTTAGACAAAAAAATAAGTTCCCTGTTGTACATCAGCTTCCCAAATTGCAGGGAAGTTTCTCTTCAGTCGTCACACTTTACAGGCGGATTGGCGATCACAATATCAGACCTATCCCCCTTTTGTTTAATTTTGGTTGTTCGGTGTTCTAAGCAGCCTTGTAATATTATTTTATAGAAATACAGATACACTTTGACTCACTCTGGGCTCAGCCGCCATCGTGAGTGGATTACCTACTGTATCGTTCGTTTACAGCGGCTCGTGATGAAAAATTTCGATCGCTGTAGAAATACAAAATATTACAAATACCTAATTTTATACATCCAAGGTAAGGGTACCAAGGTAAGATATTATTATTATTTTTATAATCACAGATTTTCATTTATATACGTATGCGTCATGGACTTTATGGAGTGATCTAAAGGTGTAGGTACTTTGGTGAATGCTAAATTAAAATAATGGTTATGACCAGTTGAAAAACTTTTTTTATTAAAAAGTTTTTCAACTGGTGACCGAAATAAAGTTGATGAGAAAAAAAAATATATTAACGAGCCAGGTAAAAAAGACTAGTTATTACGATAACGCCTGAGTACAAATACCTAAAAATTAAAGTAATATTAAAGTTGATTTCTGATCGTTTTAGAATAATTCTTTTAAAAGCTTTTTCAATTAACAATAATATAAAAAAATCTCAATAATAATAACATAGTAAAATTTAGAAAAATGTTTTCTATTCGTAATTGAGTTTTTTTCTATACCTTTTCACAATCACATGAGCATTCTGAGTCGTGCACTTTTGGATTTTCCAAACTTTTTTTACTGACGTTTGACATAAAATTATCTTAAAATTAGAAGTAATAGTAATTAAGGTTATTAGTGAAAACTTGTGTGTACTTTAAATACTTTAAAAATTGACGTTTAACATACACATTTGTATTTACCAAAAGCTTATTTATTTTCTGTTTTTAGGACTCCCAGATACATATATAGAATTACGTCTGCAATTCGACAGAAGCGAAAAGAACAACCAGCGTGCAGGTAAACTTATTTCATCACTTCCATGAGTTTGGAGACGTGGTATTTCTGAATATTTGAATATATTGCTCACATTAGATTAAAGTTAAATGATGACTTGAGGCCAATCCGACATAGTATTTTGTTAGCATAATATTTAATATGCGACAGTAGCCTAATGGCAGGGCGCGGACCGCGAACTCAAAAAGGTCGTGGGTTCGAATCCACCATTCGACTACTGGCGTGAACCACTCGTAACACAAGCAATTTAAGCTTACTGCACTTTAACACTAGTGGTTAAGGGGAATATTAGTAATGTTTATAGCATTGGTAATATTCTTTCAAAAAAATAATTACTAGTGTATTTGTGCTATATTGTATTGAAAATATTGCGGTATATTTTCTTTTATATTCGAGTACCTGGAGAATTTAGAAACGTTGTGGTTATAAGAGATAGAGCTCTATTGACACTTTGTTAAGGGTTAAGGTAAATGTAGGCACAACAGTGACACGAAAGTTGCTTTACAAATGAATGAGCTCGACCGGGGAAGGACCACGATCGCCTGACATATTAGTATATAGCTGCGGTCACTGTTGTGTTTCATAAAGACATATCATTTAGACATTTAGGTTTCATATAGAGAACCGGAGATCCTTTTTACTGGTAACGAGGCAGCCCATATTAGTGCTCATGGGAGAGAACGCATCTGTATTTTGATATTTAAACAATGATTAATGAAGTTTTCTAAGGACTATAACATTCAGTACCATAAGATGAACTTTGTGCTTGTTTGTCATTCTTAATTCTATAGTAAAAATATTTACATTTGCGCCATGAGCCACTCGCCAGAGTATCATATGTAGGTAATGAAAGTGCATTGTGCGCATCTGAGATTAGATTTGGAGAAGTTGACATATTTGCTCTACATACTTATTTTTGTTTACTTTATGTTTTCTCTTAGTGGAATTCCACCAATGTCAAATCCACACTCTTTTGTGTTTCAGTTACAATGAATGGCGATGCGACGACGGTGAATGCCTCAGAATAAACAGCGATTGTGACGGTTATATCGACTGTTACGACGGCAGTGATGAGACATTCGAGCTTTGTAGAAATCGTGAGTGAGTATATAAAGAGGAATTCATCCTGGTAGGTTTGCAGTCAAACGTTGGCCTATTCTAGAATATACGTGATACGTTACATCTGTATGATAGCGACTGGTTTGTTTTGACCGAAGTCTCACCAGTCTTAGAGAATAGAAGCGATATTCTAGCAATGTTTATGAAGTGACTTTACGCCACCCGGAGTAGGTTTAAAGTTAAGCATTGGTTTGCCAACATTTGACTTTAAACTATCTTGTGCTAAACGTGGTAATGTAATAGCACCATCTACTTTAATGTATAGGTCATTTTATTGAACTAATTCGTTAACTCGAATTTCAAGATGATGATCGTGTTACATAAAATAGACACTAGATGGATTTAAACGCGCCTAATTTTGGTACTCCAGTTGCGTGTGGAACCTGACACGCACAGTTATTTCCTTTTCATTACGGAACCCAAAAAAATAGCTCTATGGTACCCTTTATTGTCGTAGTTGTAGTAAAATGATGTATAGTTTTTCTTCAAGGTGCGGCCCGTTCACCTTTCGTTGCAACTATGGTGCTTGCGTCGACGATTCCTCTCCTTGCGACAACTTGTCGCAATGTGCAGATAAATCCGATGAGTCACTGCCCAGGTGTCGCGGTGAAAACATCATAGAAGGGTAAGTTAAAATACACGGATATACTGAGCTGGACTGGATATACCCTATCCAACTTCTGAAAGAGTTATAAACAATGAGAGAATCCACGACTCTTTTTGCCACCAGAGCGGTGCCACTTTGGTATGAGGTGAAATATTTGACAAATTTCACGGCGGCAGACGTTAATTTGTCAGAAAAGTGTAGAGATTAATGTTTATTTCTTAAATAATAGTTATATTTTATATTAATTAGATTATAAAAAAATAATACACGCTAATGATGTAACTAAAATTAGATGAATTAAAAAAGCACGGGCCACCGGCGAATTGGACGGGAGTAGCAGTCCACGCGGTCCTATGAGTACAACAAAACGGGTGGCAACATCACTGCCCCACTAAATAAATTCACCTTAATTTTCGGTTGTCTGCGCTCAAGCTGCGCAAACTAATCCAATCCCACTATATGGTGTTGATGACAGACTTCAACGCAAAACAAGAGAAAGCGGTGAGCTGAATGTAGGGAAATTTGGAATAGGGCAACAGAACCCAAGGAGCCAGTAGTTGGCCGACTTCATGAAGAAAGAGGAACTCTTTATAATGAAATCTTTTTTCCAAAAGCAGCCCCACAGAAAGTGGACCTGGTCGAGCCTCGACGACGAGCAGACGCCAACTGTTCTGTTTGTGAAAAAAACGCGAAAGGCATGGGGCTTCCGTGTTATTAAGTGCTTTTGTGTGAAAGACAATTATTCGGAAGTGCTCAGTGAGTGTGATGCTTCACAGCGACCGTCAGGTTGCACGGGCCTGCCGCTGGCCCATTGTCCCTTTGTGTTGTGATTAGTGTAGTGTTGCGCTCTGATTATTTCCAATAAACTGTAAGTATGTAGCTTAACGTACGCTCGCCACCTCAGAGGCCTGCCTATTCTATTGTTTTTATTTCTGTGTTCGCTTATTTTAGACGACAGCTAAGTACACACCCTAGCGTACTAACGCGTTAGGAGTATAGGTAATCGTCCTAGGCACACTCCCCTTACGCCGTAAATGGGGGGAGGGGCTTGGTACACAAGTGTTTCCATAAACCTTAACAAGATGGCGGCTATAACGATAAACCGAACTCACGAACTTCTTTAGTCGAGCTTGATTTCACGTTTGGGCCATCTTTCTGGCGCAGCGCAACATGCCCGCTATTTAACCTGAACGTCCCGTCGTGTGAAACGATAAACCTAGGCAAGTACAGGACACCCAGATGGGGTTGTGGTCAAGCCAGTGCTTATAATAATTTTAAAAAATGAACTCGAAAAAAATCCTCTGGCCCAAAGACCACAAAGCTGGTCAGGGAATTCTCATCCACGTCTCTACGACGGATGATTTCCGCGCTTTAACTGCATATCAAAGCTCAGAATCTGAACTTTCACAAATAATCCTTAGCTGAGGACAAGGGGCTCGAAATTGATTATGTTCCAAGCGGTCTTTAATTGCAGAATGTCCCTATCAGGGAAGTGCACAGAATGCACCATCCCACCCACAATAAAGATACATAGATTTATGCCCAGTCATTCTGGACCTGTCTCAAGATTGCAAGGATATTTTGACGTCCGCCGCATCTGCAACCTCACGGGGATTGCAGTAGAAGCTCCCTGCAGCATGGGCATCATTGGCCAATACCAAAAACTGTTTCGCCTCGCCTAGATGCGTTAAGTGTCTACGTGATCACGACACACCCGAACCAAACCTCCGATTTGGTAGACCTTCGAGGTGAAAGGGGACGACCAGCGAATTATCGCGGGTAGACCAAAGCACCACGCAAGAAAAGGCGCGGCGGTGTATACCGGCACAGACGAGCGGCTAGCACTAATGTGTCCCGTCCTCGGTCACTGCCTCGGTGTCCCAGCCCCCTGCAATCCCACGCCCTCTCAGGCTGTCGTCAAACCCCCCCCCGTTAAAGAGACTCCCGGGCAAGGCGTACGCCCTTCGGTGCCTTCAGCATCTAAACGCTCAAGCCTCCAGCGATGGTAAGCACGGCCAGCTTGATCCACTGTACCTCGCTAGTCTGTAGCTTCATCAGCAACGTAAACGTTGCTGAAGTCACTTCTTTGGTGCGCAAGCTCCGCTAGGCTAAGTCTACACAAGTTAAGCTCAATGCCACCATAGAGCATATCAATCTTATTGACGCGATTGGCTCTTTCCAATTCGCTTAAGCAAACCTCTTTATAAACCAAATGGAAGTACAACCAACGGGTGGAACGAAGCATCGCTCACTGACTGTCGCATTCTTCATTGCAAACGGCATCAGAGATCAAAAGGAAGGAGTCGTGTACTTTCTACGCGACCATCATGTCGACATCATGCTAGTCAAGAGACCCTGAAATCAAGTATGCGCGATCCCAAATAGCTAACTGTCCCGTAATGATAGGCTGACCGGATCTAAAGGCGGCACCTTGATCTACTACAAAAGGTCCTTGCACTATGTACCGATAGATATTCCGCCGCTTGCTAATTTAGAAGAAACGGTTTGTAGGATAGGATAGTTTTGTAGGATAGGTAGATAGGATAGGATAGGTAGGATTCTGGGGTGAGCACAAGATAATTCAATTATTAGTACTCCCCATCCGTCCATCTAGGCCGGCCAGTGATCAAACGCGGGTTGCTTGCGTACTGAGAAATTTACCGAAAGCATTTAGCCCCTGACTTACCAGACTTTTTAATTTCATCATCATTACAGCCTAACGAGAGTCATCATTCTCTAAACCATTTCCCATTATCTGGGGTCGGCGCAGTAAATCTTCTTGTTCCATTCCTCTCTATCAGCCGTCATTTCCATACTTACTCCTTTCATTCTCATATCACTCTTCACACAATCGATCCATCTTTTATTCGGCCTTCCTCTGCCCGTGTGTCCCTCCACATTCATATTCAACACTCGTTTTGTGACATGACTTTCATTCCTCCGCATCACTTGCCCAAACCATGCCAATCTGCTTCCTCTCACCTTTTCTACCACTGGCGCTATACTCATTCCTTATCTTATCCATCCTTGTCACACCACACATCCATCGTAACATTCTCATTTCATTCGCATGCAGTCTATTTTCATCCTTCTTCTTGACGGCCCAGCATTCACTTCCATACATGACGACAGGTCGGATGATCGATTTGTAAATTTTCCCCTTCAGCCTTATTGGCATTCGGGGATCGCACATTGTGGCTGTGACCTGTCGCCATTTCATCCACCCTGCGTTAATCCTATGCTGCACAGCTCTATCTATTCCGCCCTCGCCTTGAATGAGGGAACCGAGGTACTTGACATCTGAGCAGATAGGCAGTATAGCGCCATCCAACGACATGGGTACAGGACTGGAAAGACCGCCGAAATCACAGCACAGATATTCGGTTTTGGATCTGCTGATCTTCAAGCCAACACTTTCCAGCCTCCGTTGCCACCCCGTCAGTCTGCTCTGTACCTCGATGCCTTCTTCCCCGACAAGCACGATGTCATCGGCAAAGAGCATGCACCAGGGTGCCTCATCCTGCAGGTCCGACGTCAAAGCGTCCATAATCAGTAGGAAGAGGTAAGGGCTCAATGCCGACCCTTGGTGCAGCCCTACCGCCACATCGATACTGCCCGTAGTTCCCGCGGCAGATCGTACACATGTACGGGATGCTCTGTACATAGCACGGACTAACCTCACATACTTCCCAGGCATACCTTTCATCTTTAACGCCCACCACAAAACCTCACGGGGAACCCGATCGTACGCCTTTTCAAGGTCGACAAAAACCATGTGCGGATTTTTATGCACGCGCTTGTACTTTTCGCACAATTGGCGTAATGCGAAAATGGCATCTGTCGTACCTCGACCGGGCATGAATCCGAACTGGTTTTGTGTTATCTCACACTCTTCTCTCATTCTTCTCTCTATTATTCTTTCCCAGACTTTCATCGACAGCCTAACGAGAGTCCATTGCTGAATATAGCTCGGAAGTAGTGCGTGTCGTAAGAGGCTGTAAAGAGAAGTGGAACAGAAAATGAGTTCCTAATAACAACTCAATAATAATAAAAATCTATGTTTGCCAATCCGTCAGCCAAACGTGACAACTATGGACAATATTCCTCTACTGAGGTAATCTTTTGGAGGTCTCAGTCTTTCTGAAGCTTAAAATCGCATTTTAGGTTACCCATGTAACGAAATGGGGTGCTATTTGATTGCGCCAACGAACATCCTTGCATTTTGTATTTTGGCGATGTATTTTATTAGTAAAGTTAGCCGGCATAACCTATTCAGTCGTGCCGGCTAACGTATTAAATTAAATTTATGCCATCAAAAACATAACTTGTTAAAAAACCAAGTCTCGCAACTCAGTTCTTCTATCGTAAAAAGTTGTGAGATCCATGTAATAGCAAGTCGATTAGTTTATTCAGTACCTCCTTAAGGGTCTTCTGTTTTAAGTTATTACGTAATTAGCTTACCTAACAACATTTTATAGTGACCATATCAATGTTAAAATGTTTTATGTTTTAAATATATAGATTGACTTGGCCATCGCATGAAAACACAATGTATCTCCCAAGTAATACATATTATATTAAATTAGATTGCTTAGTGCGATTGTCAAGTCAATGTATATATTATTATACACAAAACATTTTACCATTGATATGGTCACTAAGAGCCGTGGTAGCTCAGATGGTTAGCGCTCGCTGTAAATTTCAAAGTACGCGAGCTAACTGGGTTCGATCCCCGCCGGCACCAATGAAATTGTTAATTGCATTTTTAAGTGCTGATTTACGACGTGCTCGGCGGTGAATGAAAACATCGTGAGAAAACCTGCATGTCCAAGAAATATAAAAAAAAATTCGAAGACATGTGAAGTTCGGCAACACGTATTGGGGCACTGCGGCGGACACTTCCTTGCCCTAAAACCCTTTCCCTCTCAGAAATGAGGGGAGGCCTGTGCCCAGCAGTGGGACGTATATAGGCTGTAACTTTACTTTTTTACTTTATGGTCACTATAAAATGTTGTTAGGTTAGCTAATTACGTAATAACTTAAAACAAAAGGACCTAGTAGGGACTGAATAAATTAACCGACTTGGTATTTACACGGATCTCACAACTTTTTACGGTAGAAGAACTGAGTTGCGAGACTTGGTTTTTTTTTACAAGTTATGTTTTTGATGGCATCTCGTTTCTTTTTGTAGATAAGATAGTCCTACTTTTCTACCTTTCCGGTACCTTCTACTTCTTGAATACCAACAACGTACCTATCTACATCTGTTACACATATACAAGCACATCGATTCATCGTAAATGTAACTTTGTAATTCTATATACTCGTATTTATATGGATATGGAATTATAAAGTTATTTATGCAGTTGGTGTATCTAGAAAACTGGACCGAAATTAACAAATATTTTAGTTTTTCTGCAATAACTTTGGTGACTTTCGCCACCCAAGGTTATCTTACATTAAAATTATCGTTAAATAATTATTAATTATCTACATGTTAATATATTATTTAACATATCATACATTTATTTAACCTGAGACTCTTTGTACTGATAATGAGGCATTATATTCTAATTCTCAGGGGTTACAACGCATCCAAATTTTGATTCTTAATTGAGAATAGATGTAGGTTGTAGGTGTCTATGGGTCACAGAATCCACTTACCAACAGTTGGACTATGTGCTCGTTTGTCACCCTTATTCTATAAAAAAGTTATGAACGTCTTGTAGCGAGAAGATGAAATGTCGAGATGGCCAAATGATTCCTAAAGAACAGCGTTGCGACGGTATCGTCAACTGCGCTGATGGATTCGACGAGACAGTGGCCGCTTGCGCCGAGCTGCGTTGCCGGTCCGAGCAGTTCCAATGTGAATATGGTGGCTGCGTCGATGGTCAGGCGCAATGCAACGGTGTAAGTATGATTTATTGTGGTTTTATTTGTACACTATTAAACTGTCCTGACAGTGGCTGCATCGTATTAGTAATTGAAATATAGATGACTATATTATGAGATGAATGAAGGTGGCTCAGAACCGTGCTTTGTGACGTTCCTTGAGGATCTACATATGTGTTTTTTATAGGAGAAAGGTGACAAATGAGCACATAAAACACGTGATGATAAGTGATTGCTGTGGCCCATAGACATCTACATCTATCCTCGATTACGAATCAAAATACAAATGCGTTGTCACCCGTGAGGACTAAGATGGAATGCCTCCTTTCCAGTGAAAAGGGTTTCCGGTTCCCTACACTCACCATACGAAACACAGTAGCTTTAAGCTGCTATTTTACGCTCGTATTCCGTGAGAGCGTGGTCTTTCCCCGGTCGCGTCGACCCATTCGTGCTACAACTATACTACTAATATATCTGCAGTATGGCTCTACCACGTAAAAGCTGTGTGCTTATGATGTGCTATAATGATGATGATGTTACCGTCACAAACAAAAAAAAAAAAAAAGCCTAGTAAAGGCCATTATTGATCATAAGCCTCTCCATAGATTACCTCTTAAGGGAGATATGTGCCATAATTGCCATAATTGCCACGCTTGGCAAGCAAGTTTTCGACCACAGCTTTTTAATTTTTAGTTATTGTTAGGAAGACACCGCTCTCCATCTTCTCCTGGTTTGTCACTCTCTGCCGCCTCTTACGACACCCATTAGACGATACCATCCATACCATCTGGATGACTGGCGGTCCACCACCGTGCGATTTAAAAGAAGTGTCCTTCCTTCGCACACAACACACAACTTCCTAAAATCCCGGTAACGCATCTGCAATTCCCCTGGTGTTGCAGCTGTTCATGGGCGACGGTAATCACTTACCATCAGGTGAGCCGTATGCTCGTTTGCCCCAATTCCTATAAAAAAAATTGTGTAATGGTTATTTATTTTTATTCGTACACAGCCACTACTTTGTTAATGGTGGATGATGATGACCAAAAATAAACAATTTAAATATTTCATATTTATTTCAGACAATTGAGTGCGTCGACGGATCTGATGAAAAAGTCGAATTATGCGGTAGACGTATATTAGTTAGACCAACTACAGTACTACCTACGACGGCGGTACCCAGCTATAAAGTTTCATGAAGCAATTGACGACTTTTTGTACATATATTTTTAAAATAAATTCACACGCGCAAAACATTAATATTAGAGAAGATATGTTCCCCAATGATATCTTTTTTGCAAACGTACTTAAGTGCGTAAACAGTTCTTTGTTTACTTACGTAGCGTAAGTAAACAAAGAACTGCTTTTTTAATTTGCACAGGTGACAAATAAACACGCAGTCTACCCGATGGTAAGTGGATGCTGTAGCCAGTAGAGAACTACATCTATACTTAATTGAGAATCAAAATGCAGATGTGTTGTCATTCCTGAGGACTAAGGTGGCAAACTTTATTACCAGTTAAAGGTGATTCTAGTACGGGTCTTTCACCACACGAAACACAGGAGCGTTATTCTGCTATTTCACGTTTTAAAGCAAGCGAATAAGGTCTGTGCAAGCGTGATCCTTCCTTGGTCTTGTCCCATTCGTGTTGAATAGCTGCACTACGTAAAAATTTGAGTTTTTAACATTGAGTTGTAATGTACTACGTACTAGAGAAGCTATTCCAAACAAAAATTGTGCGCTACTCTATGTCTTCGCGCATGCGCGGTAATAGTAGAGTCGCGCATGCGCAGTTGGTATAAACGCGCATTGCGCTTGCGCGGTCAGTTTTTGTTATTATAGATTATACGTAAGTAGAATGGTCAGTATGTAATAATTGTTTATTTATATTGTATTATTAATTATATCGAGTACAATTTTTTAAATTGTTTTTTATTTTGTATGTGTGCTAATTTAATATAATATTACATAATATTATGTCAGAATTACATTTCAATGATATTGTTATCTGAATATTTTAAAAGGTATCTATGTCAAATATAAAAAAACGTACTAAATGTATGTTTAACAAAACTTATTAACATAAAATTTAAATTACAAATATATTTATTTAAATTAGAATCATAAATGTTGTAAATAATCGTTCATAAATGCTGGGCATGCGAGAGTTAAAAATGGACGAATTTATTCCACTTTGACTTTGAAGTGGAAACCTAAAAATAAAATAAAAGAATAATAAGTAGATTTAAACATGAAAAATTTAGCTTAATTATAATAACTTATATGTTTCTACAAAAAAAATGTGTAGTATAATAATATATTCGTCCTAAACTTAAGTACCCACAGAAATGTCGCATCTGAACATATTAATTTCATAATCTATATTCAATGATACGAGATGGCGTCTTAGGAATAATTTGCTTTATTATTAATTTATAATACTTTTTTATTGAATAAGTATCTTATTAACCGATGAAAAGTAATTCCTTGGTTTTTACTGACATTTCTTGAATTATTTGTGCAATATCTAAGTACACAAGGCGGCATATTTTTATCAAGAGATTTTTTTTAAATCAACACAACACGTGACAACTCTACAAGCGCCTAGCGAGTGACTGATTAAAGTGCAGTGCATGCACCGCAGTTGAGTGGAACAGAGTAGCTGAATGCAGTGTCTCCTCTAGTACGTAGTACATAATAGCTCAATGGTTTTTAACGATTTCAAATTTGACAACGAATTACAGATTGAAAATTATTTGTTATTTGGCTTTGTCTATCAACAAGCCATTCCATAAATATGGACATATTATGTCACCGGCAACATACTGAATTCATTAAAAAGAAATTGATGCGCGCGGCGCTAGGGGTATTCATTTTGAAAAAACATCGATGTTTTTTTTTCGACGTCATGCATGGAGACTGTGCATCGATATATTCCTATGCATCGGTTAAAAACGTCGATGTTTTTTTCAAAATCGAGTAATTTTTCCAACTTTAACAATTTAAAAATGGGTTGAAATCCCGGATCGGGCCGGGTCAAGAAATTCCTAGTAGTTGCCCGGAGTCAGGAAGTTGGCGGTGTCTCACCCCCGTGCCTCGGACAGCACGTAAAGCCGTTGTCCAGCGCCTAATTCCTCTCCGGTCGTGTCAGTTTACCGTCCCATTAGATTATGAGAGTGAGGGAATAGAGAGTGCAACTGTGCTTACGCATACACTTGGACACTATAATCCTGTTCCGCGTCGATGGCTAGTCTCCGTTGAGGCAGGCCGCCGTGACCGTAATTCGTTTTCATATAAATTGTTTGTTACTTTATAACTGAATTTGTATAATTAGCTTCGCGATTCAATTCGCGAATGATTCGATGAAATTTATACAATAAAATGTAGATAATTTGTGTTGAAATGTATCTCACAATTAACAACGTATCTTCTATTTATTCCTTAATTCAATAAATTATAAAATTGTACTCTTGCTCATATGAGAATAAATAAGATAACCTAAAAACCTACTTAATTACTTTACTTACCTGTCCAATCGAACATGGACGGAAAAGATGGGATTTTTCCCACAAACAGTAATCCTATTCCGTTCTGTCACGTGTGCAAATTCAGGACACAGTTAAAATCACATTAATGTAATTTAACATTTTTATTCAAAGTTCACCGAAATAGAACAGACGATTTTTTTTATTCTCTCTAATACAGTGCTGCCTACCAGTCAATGTCTATTTCTAGATTCCGCTGAGGGATTGACAGCTGTCAACTATTGCCACCGACAGGATGATTGATGGATCCAGTGAAAACAAGTCCTAGGTGTATATCTTCAACTCCGCATTATCGTTAAAACTACCCATCTATTTCCCAATGGGCTTACGAGACATATATAGAGATCAGGGATATTTCTTGTTTCTGCATCGAGAATTTATAAAGTTCTATAGCTTAATCTACAGCTTAAAGTGAACAACAAGTGGACTCAAATACTGACAAAAATCTTGCCAACGCTTCCGCTCTTCAATTGCTCATCGTACAATTTATATATGATGTTAATGTCATCCTGGTAGTTTGCGGTAGGGACTGCTGAAGAAATTACGAGACTGTTTACTATTTAGTAAATATAAGTATAATTAAATAAAAAACAGCAGAATTAAGTTGCTATTTTACTCTGGTATTCTGTAAGAGCGTGTTTCTTCTCCGAACGAGACAACCAATTCCTGCTACATTTTTAATATTGCTACAGTATAGCTATACCACGTATTAAACCCCTTTCCTGGTAAGAACCGTCAAGAAACAGAGTGGGTCAATTTATAAATTAACAGTTTCTAATCAATTCGATTGTACAATAAAATATATAAAAATGCATATTTGTTTCTTTGTATGAAGACGAATAACTTAATTTCTATGAATGTGTTATAAGAACAAACCACTGACCTCTTTATATATAAAAGGAACAAAATAAGAATAAAAAAGAGGCATTGAAAGGCATAACAGATATATCTGAGATACAATAAAGCTAAATATGGACTGAGGTTTTTCGAAAAAATGTCGGTTTCTGACTACCACATGGGCAAAATAAACAATTCTTCTGTCTGTGTGTGTGGCTGAACTGTGTGTTATTAAGTTAAATCAAGAGTGGTTTAGATTTGATATAGAAGGGCTTAGTATGATGAGTACAAGAAATCACCAGTGCGCAGTCTTGGTGCATCTCTTAGTGATCGCGTAGATTTTGAAAGACTTAACGGATTGAGGTTATATTCACAAAATACATTTTATTTGTTGAGACGATTTTTCAATATGCTACGATCCGATATACACTTATATATACTTGGCTATGGACCATAAGTTTGGGGGAAAATGAGAAGAAAAGAAATAAAAAAAAACATTCTAAATAATAATCTAATACTTTTATACTTTATGATACCGGTACTAATAGAAAATATTGTCGATATACTACTAATTTTTCAAAGTGTTGCGGTTCTCATATCAAATAAAACAGTCGTCTGTGAAATCAACGTTTCGAACAAAGATAATCATTTTATTTTGGACGCCAATTCACAATAGCCATTTTAGTCTAAGTTCAGTTGCAAACCTGTTAATTAATAAACATTTGACAAATATCTGTTATTGGCAACTTTGTTTGTTAACAGATATGGGTAGGAAAGAGTATTATAACATTACGGTATATAAAGTATAGTATTATAGACAAGGAACTCGACAACCCTATTGAATTTTATTGTATATCAAAACTCAGTAATATACAGCCAAACAAGTTGGTAATTAAGATATTAAGATTAATAGTAACAAATTTTTAAGTATCTATATTATCAAATAGTCTTAATTTGTTTAATATTGGCTGCAAATTCACTTAGTTGTGGAATGTTATACCACTTTCCTTTGCGAAACTAGTTTTACAGATTACGAACACTCTTACTTATTCAAAACTTATTTTTATTTACCACTTTTTATTATTCAAAATAATTCTTATTATATAAATAAAATTATACACAATCAAACAACATAAATACTTTCGTTCTTTAGTTTAAACGTTCAAATTACAGATATTTTAAATAAGACAATTTAAAAAGGACAGCAGACTTTGGCATATATTATGTTAATTTTAGTTCTCAAGACGACAAAGTGGCGCTTTAAATTGGCACAGACATTTTGTGTGGACAGATATTTGGTATAGTCAGTCCAACGTGCTTGTGGTGTGGATAGAGGTTAGTGGTGGTGAAGCATTAAACTGTGAATGACATAATCAGGCAGAATCCACGGGATTGGGGTTCTCCACACAGGGTAAAGGAAGGTATTTTAAAATTTTAATTCTCAGCTATACTGTGATTGTGAATCCTAGATTAGATGGTACCTACCTGAGTTTATCAAGTTCCAGCTACTAATATAGAACGAAGAAGCACGAAGTATAATGAATTTCATTTTTGCGCTGTAAAAGGGTAGAACAATGTCTGCAAGCATATATAAAGATAATTAACTATTGCGTGGAAGAGCCCCGCTAAAGTTAAATTTTGCTGCAACATGAATGGGTGGGCTAGACCGGGAAAGGACCACGCTCGCACGAAATGCCTGCGCAAATAGCAGCATCAATCTCTTATGTTACGTATGATGCATTCCTTTTTAGTCCACAGGGACAACACATCTTGGCCCTTAATTGAGGACTGATGTAGCTGTCTGTAGGTGCTAGGA